TCAATGATAAGGTCAAGGACAGACAGAATGTGAGAATTCTCTTCAGCCCATCACTTACTGATAGATGGAACAATCTGGATCACCCTCTTGCTTGAATGGGTGAACATATCCCAATGCACCTTCATCAGCTTCTCACTGCCTGCATCTTCAGAGAAGGAGGAGTGCAGAAGAAATGCAGAAAAGAGAGGGGAGGGCAGGGAGATGCTCCTCCCTCAACCCTATTTAGTATGCATATTGTACACGTGTTGCAGTCATCTCCTTTCCATTTATTGGAACAGGTCTCCCTCTAGCTCTTCTCTGTTTTGGTCACTGCTCCAATGTGAGGAATACACAATGAACATAGATGACGCATCACCCTCTGAAAACGATCCACAGGGAGCCCAGTGTGCTTCCTGTACTCAGAATATACCAAGGCACCCACATATCCAGGAGCCTGGTGCAAGCCACATTTACCACCCCCATAAGAGTATCTCTCAGTAATTCACTTTAAAATGTGGTGGTGATAGAAATTTAGCATTCAGTGGCTGTGGTTTTTTATTTTTTTTAATGAATTAGCCAGTTTTGTCAATGCTTTCTATGTAACTGCATGTAGCTTCATAAAGGGAGAAGAGTTTAATTTTGCACAGAAGCATTTTGTACAATTTGAGAATTCTCAATAGAAAAAGAAGGCTTTTCTTTTCTTTTATTGTTTTCACCAGGCGAGAAATCTTGTAGGGGTCAGCAGACTCTTGTTTTGATAAGAACCAGTAGTTTAGTGGGACCTTTTCACCTCTTTCGTTCCCTCCCCAGTGATGTCTCTGAGTAGACTGTTACACAGGGGACAGAATGGCAAAGACAGAAATGTGTCACCTTTTCTTACTGCAAGTTTGAGAAAGCATGTATAAAACAGCTCAAGGGATACAATCAGTTTTCTTCTGAATTGTGCAGGTATTATCATTGTGAAATATATGAATGGCCTTATTTCATATTGATAGCACGATGGAGGAAAGTAATAAATACATTTGAATGCCAATATTACAAAAACACGATTCAACACAAAAGCAACTTTCTTTTAACGTGGCAGTTCCTTTGAAGTAACAAAACATCTCCTTTCTATCAATTATATAACTGCATCATGCTTGTAAGAGAAAAAGGAGAAAAGTACCACCAGGGGGCATGTACAGAACTAGAAAAAGCACTCCAGAATTATCATTCCATCTAAAAAGCACAATGCTTCCAGTTCAACAGCAGTGGTTATAACACTTTTACCAAGAAACTTTATCATATCTCATGAGGACTAATTGTAATAGTTGTTTCCCATTAATCAGGTCACATTTTTGCAAAAATGCAAGCATTTTCTCTGTTTCCTTATATTGCCACCGTGAAACTCATCCAGGGCAATGTGACTAACAGGCATTGCATTAACTCATAGTTATTTCCTTCCGAAGAGAAAAGAATGGATGACATGTAGCCTTTGTCAAAAGCAACAATCACACCATATTGAACCAGAAAATATTAATCAATGTCCATTAGGTGGTGTAGTGTGCTGTAATGGTTGGAGCAGTGGACTAGGACTGAGGACACCAAGGTTCAAATACTTCCTGACCCATGAAACTCACCACAAGCACCACTGACTGCAATGTCAGACGGGGAACCAGGAAAATTACTTGGAACAAAAGTAACCCATAACATTTTTGCATTTTTGGAAATATACAGTGTATCTGAATTGTGTGAGAGTCTGTACAAACAAACAAACAAACAAAAAGAATTACTTCATACCATGAATAATTGAAGTAGGGAATTTGCTTCCTCAGAACATGGTGATGTCTATAAACTTAAATGGCTTTTAATACATTAATGCAGAGTACTGTTATCAATGGCTACTAGTCTTGAGATATATTTTGCCTTCAGGAGACAGTTTGTCAATGAACACCATTTGTCATGAGGAGCAAAAATGTGAGATTCCTATGACCTTCAGCTCCTGCTTACAGTTGTGTTCAAAATTATTCAATCTCCTGCTTATGGGCTTCCCAAAGGCATCCAGTAAGCTACTGTGGAAAATAGCTTTCTTTAAACAGCTAATCCAGCAGGGCTCTTATGTTTTTATGTTACATTTACACTTCACTTTGCAGCTCTCATTGCTTCACATATCTCATCTTCTGCTATTTCAATCTCCTTAATAAGGTTGTTTTAAAACAAACAGGATGATTGTCCTCATCTTTCTTCTGAATGATCAGACAGTAACTGCCTACAATAAATACAAAACTCAAAAAGTGGATTGTGAGAAAATAATAAGGAAATTTAAATCTCTGTTTTAATTTGGCAGGCTAGAAGTCCTCAGCTGGATGCCTACTTTTTTGTCCTATTTAACTTAGCATCCTATTTCATAGGAATGGCATAAATGGTAAGCACAATCTGATGCCACCATGTGAGATTTAGCTACATGACACTGCTTCACTTTCCAGAAATGTCACTATTATAAAGAAAGGGTAGTACAGGTTATCTTATGTGATGCAAAGCCAAAGATCCTAACAGAAGCCTATTCTAGTGCATTGATCTTCTTCCCATGTACCAGCAAGAATGATGAAAACTGCTGTCTATTTCAGGCCTGCTGTAGAAAGGTTTGACTGCTGTGCTGAATTAATGAAATATCATTGTTTGCGCTCGCTTTAAGACTCTTCTGTCAGGTTTTGGGACACCATAGCTTGAAAAGTTACTTTTAGAAACAAATGTGTAACAATTATACTCTTTCAAAATAGTTAATTACCATTATGATTATCAAAAATTAACTCTTTGCTATCCTATTTCTCAGAGGTTAAATTGCTACTTTTAGTCACTTTAAAAATACATTGCAATCCTACAGGCCATTAACTTTTCAAACAAAAAACACACTTACTCCCTCCCACCTCATCATCAATTCAACGACCAAGGTAGAACACCAGCACAACTGCAGCCTGCACCTGAACCACGTGGTATTCCTGCTCCATCATTTACGAGTGAGGACACAACCTCACAACTATTTAAAAACTAAGATCTTGCAGTTATAGCACAAAATGGATGAACTTATTCCTTGTCCAGTGAAACCCATAATGAAACTTGGTTGTATTTTTGTTTTTAGAGTAAGAGAATTAACATTTCATATGCCTTCGCAAATACATTTCATAAGTTGTTTATTCACAATTAACAACTTAAACCCAAGCTCCACTTCAACACTTCTTCAATAAAGCTAGACAGAGGGTTATGCCAGACACTGGACCAGATATGTATACAATTACTTTTGTTTATGTGACAAGTGTTTATTTCACATCTAAAGACTGGGAGGAGAGGTAGGTCGCTTAAACAATTCACTTTGAGTGGTAAAGTCATAATCCCCATCAATTTTATTAAAGAAACTTTGTATGAGGTCTTCAATGTATTTTTTTCTGCTAATGAACTACATAATGGGTTTTTTCTATCCTTACCCTTCTAGGTTTTCACTTTTTCTCCCTGAATACAGTGGTGCCTCGACTTACAAACGTCCCAACTTATGACCATTTCAAGTTACAACCAGCTCCGGCCGCAAAATTTTGCTTCAACTTGTGACTGGAGCTTTGAGTTACAACCAGAGAAAAGGCAGGGAATTCAAACTGCTAACCGTTGGTGGTGAAGAGGCTGCTTCCTTGTAGCTCTTTCACCCCAGTGGTTAGAGAGTTTGAGTTCAGAGGAGGCTTCAGACTGCTTGGTAAGGTGCTGCTTTCTGCTTTTGTCTGTTCTGGGTGGGTTTTGCAGCATGGTTTTGGGCTGGGGGGTTATGTTTCTGTGCTGTGATGGGTTTTGCACTCTTTGTTAGGTTTTTGGGGGGGGTTCGAGTTTCCAATGGGTCTTGCAGGGTTTGTTTGCTTTTTGGGTCCCCCCCCCATTTAGGATGGGTCTTGCAGGGTTTGTTTGCTTTTGGGGTTTTTCCCCTCAATTTCTGACAGGTCTTCTGGGTTTGCTTCTGGGTTGTTGGTTTTTTTTTTTTCGTATTTCCGATGGGTCTTGCAGTCTCTGTTTGCTTTTTATGTTTTTTTTTTATTTCTGATGGGTCTTTCAGGGTTTGTTTGCTTTTGGTTTTTTTTCCCCTTCAGCCAGAATGGATCAATCACGTTTCTGATGGGTGTTTGTTTGCTTTTCGGGTTTTTTTTATTCAGCCAGAACAGATCAATTGCATTTCCCATGGGTCTTGCAGTCTTTGTTTGCTTTTCTTTTCCCCTTCTGTTGGAATGGATTAATCGTGTTTCAGTGCATTCCTATGGGAAATGGTGCTTCAACTTACGAACATTTCAAGTTACGATCATCGTCCGGAATGGATTAAGTTCATAAGTTGAGGCACCACTGTATATGGCTTTCTCCATCAGAATTACAGAGGCTACATAAAGAATCACTATTAATTCCACCCCATTCTGATTTCTAATTTCTTTTATAGGCTGCTTTATGCCAAAAATGTACTCCTATGCATTTCTCATCTTATAATATCCACTGATAATGCAAAGCAAATCCCAAGGACAACATTAACTGTCTAAAACAGGTAATGAATGTTCTGTCTAGACAATGGATGCAGACAATGTTGTTCATCTTCTCTCAGCTCTGCCATCTGTTAGTAGCTATGATAGCAAGCGGAAGACTTGTATAATGTCTGCATCTATTATATTAAGAGAGAAACTTAATTAGCCTTGTCTAAACTGAGGTAGCTATAAACTTCAAAAATCTGCGAACACATATCTTTGGATCAAAATACCATTCTGATTATGGATCAGTTTTGTGAGCATGCACAAAAATCTTCTTCTATTCTATTCCAAGGCATGTAAGGAGGATAAATCTATAAAAATTCCATGTCTAAATAGGGTTACCAACTCTTTTTTTCCATTGAAAGTTGGTTGTCAAGAAGAAACAAAGCTGTATTGTCTTTGTATACTGGGAAAAGCATCCCTTACCGTACACTATGCAACTCTTAAAAGAACTTTCAAAGTGAACAATCCTACAAAGCAAAATTATGAACTCACATGATGGAGCTTCTCCCAGAATTCATGTCCTTTTCCCATGTTTCTCAAACTAGGTGGAATGTACCAAAAGCACACATTCGCATATTCAGGCTGGGAAAAGAGAAAACGTATTGAGGACACAGAAGAGGCCACCATCTTCATTCTACATAGATATGAGAACCAATACAGCTAGACTATACATCTTATCACAAGTAATGGGCTAGGTAAATTTCGGTTGACAATCTCATTACAGTATATCAGTTTCATTAATGACCAGTCATACCTAATATTTTTCTAAGTAGCACAGAGGTATCAATTACTTATAATAGTTCTTCCCTCCTTCCTTTTACTATGTAGAACTCTTATTTGTTTGTTTACTTACTTACTTACTTACTTACTTACTTACTTACTTACTTACTTTACTTACTTACTTATTTACTACTTGTTTGCCTGTTACTTTTTTATCCTGACTTTCTACAAAATAACCCTTAAGTCTGGTTCTATATTCCTGCCTTAGATTTTAACACACACTCAACTGTTTGCCTGATACTTTTTTATCCTGACTTCCTACAAAATAACCCTTAAGTCTGGTTCTATATTACTACTTTAGATTTTAACACACACTCAACTGAAACTTTGCAGGAAAAGCTTAACCTGTAATTCCGTGGGATTTATATTCTATTTAATTTGCTCTGAGCTGATTGTATGTTATTATGTTAGACTGATGATGAAGATGATAATGATGACGTGCCATCAAATCATTTCTGTCTTATAATGACCCTTTTCTAGTTAAAGAGCACTCATAAGTGTTTTGCCATTCCCTTCTTCTTGAGCCAAACTGACACTGTAACTTGTATTTTCTCACAAAATGAAGAGGGAGAGGCAATTATACCATATTTTTTGTTAGATAGACCCAATACTTTTTCAAAACCTCTGATTCAAAATGGGGGGGGGGAGCGGGGAAGGAAAAAATAACTACAACATTTCCCCCATATGTGAATACTATCCCAACTACAGTTCTAATCTCCCTTCCAAGTGGGTAGAAACTACCAGCTGTTCTAAATTCTTTCATGAAAAGGCACTAGTTTTATACATAATATCATTTTCTGCCTTCCTTCAAAGAATGCATTAAATACAGTTTAATCATCAAGGAGAATACAGTTGTCAGCAGGAAGAGATCAGCAAGCGTGCCACCTGCTGCTATGAAATGAGATGAAGTTAAGCTTTCTTTTTCTAGTGTGAACAGACACAGGTATATGTGGATTTGCTCTTGCTGAAAACTAAATTTCATTTTCAAACGCCTCTGGAGAATTTTTTTAAAAAATCTTTTTTTAAAAAAGCTTTCTAGATGAGGCTTTTTCATGCAAGAGCCCTGCCTCAAATACAGAATTTTATGAGGGGGATCCAGAGATCACTCTTGCCTCCATTTGTAACCCCTTCATGTCTTACCATCTATTCTGCCTTTTGTTACCATTAAAGACAGAGGGGGGGGGAATGGAATGCATTTTGCTATGTAACCCTAGAAGCTCTCTAGAGATGTCTGTCTGTCTGTCAGTCAGTCAGTCTGTCTGTCTTCCTTCCTTCCTCCCTTCCTATAATGTGACCTTTAAATAGCCTATTCCTTATTTCGCTCAAGTATAGGCATCATATTCAATCCTTCCTTCCTTCCTTCCTTCCTTCCTTCCTTCCTTCCTATAATGTGACCTTTAAATAGCCTATTCCTTATTTCGCTCAAGTATAGGCATCATATTCAAGTACTAGACAGGTTTTGTACTGCTTCTGATGGAATTCACAGTGAATTTACATCAACGGCTATGCTAAAGTATCCAGAAAAGATCTTAACCAAAAATCTAAATCTTTGTCATTTCTTAAGCATATGAGTCAGATGAGTGATCAAGATTTACATTTTTCCAAGTTTGTTTGTCTGTTTGTTTTACCTTGACTTTCTCCTTAAAAAGTTTGTCTGTTTGTTTTACCTTGACTTTCTCCAAGGTGGCTTACATCATTAAGAGACAGTATTTAAAGCTTAAAACAGTAAGTACACAAATACGGAAAAGGGTCAAATACCACACTACAACAGAACAAATGAAACCAAAACCAAAAACCTATTGAAAGGAAAAAGGAACAACAATTTGTTTAACAACCCCACTCAAGCAGCAAAGATGCAGCCTGCCTGGCCTTTTGTGAGAGGGAGTTCCAATGTTTAGGAGCAGCAACAGAGAAGGCCCTCTCCGACGTTCCCACTAAGCACAAGTGTGATTGTAGTGGTACTGAGAGAAACACCTGAGCGGGCTCATAAAGAAATATGCTGTTCTTGAGATCCAAGCCATTTAGGGCATTTTAGGTTAGAACCAGCACTTTGAATTGTGCCCAGAAATGGATCGGCAGCCAGTGGGACTGCTGCAAAAGGGGGTCATAAATTGTGCTAGAGCAGGCCTTTTTAGTCAATGGGGATTTGGCAAGTCAACTCTTCTGTAAGTCATATTGATTCAAATGAGCTTTCTATAATTTACCTTAGCATAGTAAGTTGCATTTAAAGTAGGCCTATTTGAATCAAAAGAACACAGAGAGGTAGATTCACCAAATCTGTACTGATCCAGTAAGCCTACTCTAGTTGTGACTCATCACACTAAGCAACAAGATTTTGGCCAGTGTACAGTAATTGGAAGCCACATCTGCAATAAGGTTCCAGCAGCCCATCTGTTGTATATTTAATCACATCCAAGGTGAGTACTTACAGTTTAAAGGTCTTCTCTCCCAAACTGTAAACCATAGTCAGGCTGATGACATGAAATATTGACTATGTTACATAGCTTTTAGCATTCCTTGTATCATCAGTGCCAAAATACTTGTTGTAATGTACTCAGTATTGAATTGCACTTGGCACACACCTACCTCCAGCAGCAAATGGAATCCTTCTCTCTTCTTGATTTCATCCACTAGGTATCTGCAATTAAGAACATAAAAATTGTGTTAACATTTGGGTTAGCCTAAATGTGCACTTCTGAGTGCAACAATCTGATCCTTTTATGCCTACTTAACAAGTGCTACTAAGTTTCTGCCCTCCATGCTGGCTTTTAAACGGATGGTTGTCTCTTAGTGCTTTGCATGTGTTTTGTGTTGCTTATGTTTTTTAGTATGGTGTTTGTTTGATACTTTCTAGTATTTGTATATTCACTGTTGTTAACTTTAATATTGTTATTTAATGATGTAAGCCACCTTGGGTCCTTTTTAAGGAGAAAGGCAGGGTAAAAAAATATTTTCAGCAAACAAACTAACAAACACATGCTTTGGACTTGAACAAAAAACCACAATCCTTCAAGTCTTGTTAACTCTGCCATAACAAAATTGATCCCAGAATTGAGGGAATTTATTCTCTAAAACAGGGAATGACCCTGCAAGAATAATCACTGGGGTTTGCAGGAGGATCTAGTGAAAAGTGGTAACTAAACACACACAGAGAGGGGGGGGAGAGAGAGAGAGAGAGAGAGAGAATCATTAAACTGAATTGCAAAATACTTTAATGTGATTTCCCAGTAAACAAAGCCATAGTTGTGACATATGAGTCCCTTCTGAGCTACTGGCAGGCAAATAAAATTCATATTATTCCATTTGGCCTATGCATTTTAAAGTCAGTTTTTAAAATTATTTTAATGTGTTTTTAAAGAAAGTGTTTTAATATATTTTATTGTGCCTCACTCTGGAGGCCCTAGAGAGCAGAAAAGCAATTAATGAATGCTTTCCATAAATAAAGAGAAAGAGAAAGGATGAAATCTTGAATCTTGTCATATATTCCCATTTCCTCAGAGCTTTAATAAAAACTAACAAATCTTTTATTTACAGAGATATGAGGAAAGGGCTGCAGACAGTGTTCTACCCAGTTGTTGTTCAGTTCTTCAAAAAAGCACATCTGTTCCTGGCAAAAAGAGAATGGCAGCTGACCTTGCACCTGATACTTCTTTTTGGTTTTCTCAATATGCTGATTTTATTCACAGTGAGGTTTAAATACTGAACCTTAATTATTTTAGAAATAAAATTATTCAAATCACCTCCACTGAGGTTTGATTGTTCCATACCTCATACTACCCTGAACTGCTGACTATAACCTGCATATACCTTGGATGAGAGTTTGGATAAAGGGGCACCCTGGAGGGGTCTCAGTATTTATCTAAGCTGTGTGAAGCCACATCCTTCTACTAATACATAATATAAAATAACAGAACATAAAATTGAATTTGAAACAATTCTGCACCCACTGAGCAGTGAATATAAGCTTTATTCTAGCATTTTAGTTGAGACGTTGCCAAAAATGTCCAGGGACTGACTAAATAAAACACTAGAGATGGTGTTCATATAAGAGCACAGGGAGTTGGCAAGATGTTTGTTAGTCAGACTGGGACATGTGATGTCTCTCTCTTCAACATTTATCTCCAAGCAATTGCCATGGTAAACGGTTGCCACTAGCACCAATCCTGTCTAAGCGAGTGCAGTATCCCTAAAATAATACATAGGATTCTGACTCATGTTTATGATTATTGTATACTGAAACATATTTGCAGAACATTTTAAAATTCTTACTTCACATTCTCACAGTGTATTGAAAGGCAGGGAGCTATTATTCATATTCTATAAAAAGGGAAGGAAAATCCAAAGGTGCCAGGCGACCTGAAGAGCATACGGTGCTGATGTTGCGACACAAGCACAGAGGCAAACATAGCTTCAGCACGTATAACCCTAGCACAAAATATCTTTACAATTGAGGAACCACTTCTACAAAGCATGCGGAACATGTCTGAAGAGACTGGCTGAGCACTTTGTTGCAATTAGCTTAAAATACTACACCCCTGCAAGGAAAGTGACTAAACTGGGACTCGGGTTAGCAATGTGAAATGAAGATACGGAAACCAATTATTTCCCAGAAAGCAGGAAGAAGACAGATAAATAGTGCACACAGCTGATGAGAAATGCAAAACATGTTGCAAGTAAAAACATATGCAGTTCTGCCTGTCAGTAAAGGGGGAAAAATACTTTGCTTTCAGTTTATAAGGTCAGTAGGCTAGTCCCAGAAGACAAGTCTATATTCAGGGATCCTGAAATATTATCTCTGCAGTGTCATCATAAAGCTTACTGTAATATATTCTGAAACATGCTGTACAGTTGGTCAAATAGTTAACAAACCTGGCTTACTGCCCAGAAAACTGATGCTTCAGCTGTAAAGTCCTGGTGCCTAATGCTCCCAGCTAGCAAAACAGCTACTGTGCTGAATATCACTGATAGTCATTATCAGACGAAGGCAATTTTCTTCTTGGGAAAACAGTGACACTTCCAGTTAGATACACCCTTGGCTTAATCCTAACCATGAAAGGGAAGTATTGATCCAAACAGAATCATTAATTGATCTATTCTTAGCAAAGTGAACTTGCGAGAGTGTCCTTGATGAGGAACAATTCTTTTATTGATGGAGAGGATCAACTAACAAAATCAGACTAATAAGATGGGCTACAAATAGACACAACTGGAGTTCATTTAGGAAGCCCAAAGGACCTCTCTTCAACAAATGTGTGACCAAATTTTGTTTCTAGTATATTTTCTGACATAGTTCTTGAGGCAGAACACCTGCTAAGGCTTTTCTTCACACGTACACTTTAGGCTTCCTGAAATAAAACCATGTGTTTTGCAAAAAAAGAAAAAGAAAAAGAAACAGCCTTTGTTACGTTCTAAAATGGAAATAACAAAGTAACCTCAGAACTCTCCCAATCCCAATACAAATATTTGCTTCCGTCCTTGGTGCCATGCAAATTCAGAACATGAAATGGACAAATTCTCATACTTCAGTGTGATTCACACCAGCCAGTTAATCTCTTCTCCAGACTCTGTCCTCTCCTTTCACATTTGTTTAGCTACATCACCAGCTTTCAGGAATTACTTTATAATCAACAAGTAATCATACAGGGCTAAATCCAATTGTTGGTCTCAAACAGAGTAAAATCATTGACCCACTCAGATTTCAATATGTGTTGGCTTTACCTGAGGTGGCCAAAGTGTGGTCTTCCATGTGTTGTTAGATTGCAACTTGCAGCAGACCCAGCCAGAATAAACAATGACATATATAAGAGATACTGTATATATAATTCAATAATATCTGGAAGGTCATAGTTTGACATTTGATTTAACAAACCTCATTCCTTCAATGAGTGTCTTCCAAGAATTGGGTTTAACTCATAAGTACTACTACTAATAATAATAATCATGTGCCTTCAAGTCAATTCTGACTCAAAAATCAAAATTAATTAATTATAATAAAATACGGTTAATAACACGAAGATCATCAATTATAACAATTCTGTGGGGAGCATCTCATAAGCATTTATATAACTAGATTATTTAAAATAATAGAAAAGACAATGAGTTACTATTTTTAGTTGCAATCTTTGTACAATTTCAAGGAAAACTATTTATGGAATTATGCTGTTAATTTGCAGAAGACAGACTGAAACCACCCCTAAAATCGTGTTTCCTGACCCAGTTTCTAAAACAGGAATATGCCAAATACAAAAAAGAACATGGAATGCTCCATGGAATGCCAAAAATCTGCCTCTTAAGAACTTAGAGCTAATGCAACAATAGTGATTGTTTTAACTATAAGATGTTTAACATAGTGATAATGCAACATTTATATAATAATTCAGAGAGTATTCAAAGTGTTTTATGTTTATTATTTGTGTAGATTGCATTTTTCAACTTCAGATAGCATCTGCTTGTCTGAACAGGGAACTCAAGGAAAGGAGTGCCAAATGTCCATAAACCGACTGTTCTTACACCTTTTCCAATATATCATATTGTTTACTTCATGGGAGGTTCTAATTTTTTTCTAAGGCCTTATCTGGATGAAGCAACTATTCTTGAATGAGTATGAGATTCTGCACTATTTTTTCTACCATTGAAAAACTGTAAGTCTTCTCCCTATTCACACATTTACACTCCTTTTTAAATTCTGTAAAATGAAGGTCTGTTTTTGTTGCTCATTTGTACTAGGGCAAGTGTTTAGGTATAGGAGATTCTTAGTCGGAAGCTTTCAATTAATACTACTCACAAGAAATAAAACAATATAAACAAAAAGGCAGTTTTTAGCAAAGCTAGGAAAAATAAAGAATTCTGGAAGATAATTTTCCAGATTTCTTAATTTGATTTTTTTTCCCCAAAAAGATGTTGCTTTCCTAAAAAGAGCAGAAGTGGATGTCCCTAGCAAGTGGCTTCCAGTCAGGAGGTTTCAATTAGTGCCAAACCACTGTTCAACAATAACAACAACAAATCTAGCAAAGAGGCTCTTTCTTAAAAGATTTCTTCAAGATTTTAGAATGCTGATTTCTTAAGAGAAGAGATGTTGAATTTTAAAGATGAGTTTGAATGCTAATCACAATATATCCCCCACTCATTCAACATGCAGTGGTCAAAAGGAGAGGGAATAAACTTTCAGTGTTCAGGAGCCACAAAACAGATTCAGTAGAAGAACTGTCTTGAGACTGTTATAGAGTGATAAATTTCATCTTTAAATTTATTCCTATAATTAACAAGATAGATTTTTCCTTGGGAGCGTTTGTCCTTTTGCTGACTCCTCTCACCAGTGCGAAATTCATTAGGTTAGACATAGCTGCTAAAACTCATAGCTTATTGATTGATTCCTGAATGTTAGAAATGTTGTCATTTCCAATAACATTCTAAGTCTGGCAGATACAATCATATTGTATAATTCTTGTCTTGTCATTAAAGAACACTTTTCAAATGTGTTATTGGAAAAAATGTTTGGATCCAAAACCATATTAATCCCGCAGATAAAATATTTCAGCCCCATCAATTAAGAATTTATCAGAGCAAAAATAGGCATTTGTGTCTATCCACTTCCCTTCCTCCTCTATACTCCAATACCTTAGCAAAATTGTTCCCAGTCAGGAGGTTTCAACAACAGAAAAACCACTGTTCAACAATAACAACAACAAATCTAGCAAAGAGGCTCTTTCTTAAAAGATTTCTTCAAGATTTTAGAATGCTGATTTCTTAAGAGAAGAGATGTTGAATTTTAAAGATGAGTTTGAATGCTAATCACAATATATCCCCCACTCATTCAACATGCAGTGGTCAAAAGGAGAGGGAATAAACTTTCAGTGTTCAGGAGCCACAAAACAGATTCAGTAGAAGAACTGTCTTGAGACTGTTATAGAGTGATAAATTTCATCTTTAAATTTATTCCTATAATTAACAAGATAGATTTTTCCTTGGGAGCGTTTGTCCTTTTGCTGACTCCTCTCACCAGTGCGAAATTCATTAGGTTAGACATAGCTGCTAAAACTCATAGCTTATTGATTGATTCCTGAATGTTAGAAATGTTGTCATTTCCAATAACATTCTAAGTCTGGCAGATACAATCATATTGTATAATTCTTGTCTTGTCATTAAAGAACACTTTTCAAATGTGTTATTGGAAAAAATGTTTGGATCCAAAACCATATTAATCCCGCAGATAAAATATTTCAGCCCCATCAATTAAGAATTTATCAGAGCAAAAATAGGCATTTGTGTCTATCCACTTCCCTTCCTCCTCTATACTCCAATACCTTAGCAAAATTGTTCCCAATCTTTCTAATGTATCTTACAATAATATATAATTAATTACTAGTTTATGTCAAAGTCATTCCCTAGGAGGGTATAGTATTTTTCAATTATGACCCGGACAGCCTTTTTCACTGTCTTTGTGCACACATGTTCCATGTCAGCTGGATAAATTAGTTGACATTCCTTTATGATTTTATAATCAACAAGTCACAATCTCTATAATTAAAATACAGTACCTGGCTAAGGCAAGGGCTCTGTTTACTCTCTCCTCAAGGCCAACTGTCCCCAGTGCCTTCCACGTCATCCAGAATTTGAATGCATCTGCTCTTCGGCTGCACTGGATTGACTTGTCACCTGTGTCATAGCTGATGTCATAGAATTTGTCTTGCTGGAACAAGTATGAGGCATTGGCAGAGTAGCATCTCTTAAGCAAGTCCTGTTTTTTGATGCAACATAAAATGAAGCAGAATTAGAAACCTTTTTACTGTATTCATTACAGAAGTAAATTAAAAGGCTGGAGGTACAGTCTTGTGTAGCTACTCTTTCTGGCCATGTTGGCCAAGGAATTCTGGAGGTTGTAGCCTAAACTAGCAACTCTGCAAAGATGGCAGCTGAAGCATAACCTTGTCCTGGGATCTCTTTGGAAGACAATGTATGTGTATTAAGAGGTTAAAACTATTCAGCTGATTCTATTAAAATGAGTCTGCATTAGCTTCATTTTAATGCAAAGTTTATGTTTCTTTTCTGGAAGTGATATACATTAAAACTACTCTGGTCACTGAGTCCTTGCTGCTACATGCTGTAGGAATAATGCAAGCAGGAATAATGGCAATATCAACATGTGTACTGCTGTCTGCAACTCCTTCAGTACACAACTGTAGTATAAAATATTCTCTGGAGCATACAGAGGTGCATATGTGGATGTACACTTACAGGTGCACATGCAAAAATAAACACAGAAACATCTCTTTCTTTCCAATTTAATGTCAAAAGAGGATGAAAGGAAGTTTTCAGTTTACATATTTTTTCTATAGGTAGTCTACAATGCCTAGCTAAAAACTTAATCTTTGGAGGTGTACCATAATTGGGGATGGGGGTTAAATATTTTGGTGGGGGGAAGTGTATGTAATATCCTTTATTTTAACTGCTACTCATGAAGGAGAAGGAGGTGCTTAAGGAATTCGGTACAACAGTTGCTAGAGGAACACAAGCGAAGAAAGATTTGCTAAAATTTGTACTTCCACAGAAACAGCTACTTCTGAAGCTACTCTAAAGCTAAGATTTTTTTTTTTATGGTTACATGCAGTCTCTTCCCTGAAATGGGCAAGATGGGAAGAAAAAATATATTTAAAACTTTTTAGGCTGTACTCCTGTTCTTATAAGTAAGTCCCATAGACCTTTTGGACCAGAAATAGATAAGTCAGCAATGCTTAGTAGGTTGTTACTGAAACTGCTTTTTGGGTTTTGTCAAGTTTCTTCCACAATCTTAGGCAGTTTATAAACTTCCAAACCAAATGAATAGCCATATCCATAGAGGAGTCTACCAGCACCAACCCCTCTAAACTATAAAATGTCTCATTCTCACCATGCCCAACATGTTTTCATGTACAGGTACCTTGCTCTTTTCACACCATACAGATACATTCAAATAGCTCATCAACTTTGACCTCTTTTGAAAATTCTAGAGTACTTTTCATTTAAAACCAGAGAAGAGGGAGTCCATGTTATTAGATAATTGTTGCAACTTTAAAATGAAATCATTTCACTTAGTGAATCATTGGTCTTGTACAGTGTGAACGAACTCCCTAGAAAGTACAATTCTGGACCAGCTTGGTACTCAGAAGGAAAATATTAAACTATACTGAATCTGGCTTGAAACTGGATTTCAAGAAAAGCACAGTAATATGATACCGCTATATAAACACAGCACTGAAAGACTGTGATGCTCAGGGCTAAAGGAAGTAATAAAAGATAAGAGTCTTAACCAACTCAGACGAATAACTCATTTTTCACAGTCTTCAGAGGCTGAAAGTTTAAAAATATTAAACCTAGTTGGAGAACACTCAAGGAATCATTTGCAGAATTGTAAGTCTACATTCATGTAAATCCCACTGATTAACTGGGTCTACACCAATTGGGACTTTTTTATGGTCTGGAATTGCAGATGTTGGTAAAAGGTAAAGGAAAGATAACTCAGTTACAGAAACATCAAAAACTATGCATGCTACACAGAAATAGTGAAAAAGAGAATCAAAGCCAGTTTGGAGAAAAGAATTCCAATTCAAATCCACCCCTAAAGTTGATGTCAGAAATATAACTGGTCTACAAGTCAGTGTTAAAGTCAAAAGGTGTACAATTTAGCAGAGCATGAAGGTTATAGAACCACACAGCACTTCAAAAGGTCATCAAATACCATTTCACAAGAAGTGCATATTCTGTTTAAAACTGAATATATTAGATGCAAGCTTGGACTGAGAGCAGGTTAAGTGTTAGTATTTCATGCTCCTTCTCTTGTTCATCTGATATAAGACGTGGGACAACTAGTCTGCCAATACTCCTAATTAAAATATCTGTATTTATTCATTGAAATTTACAGCCTTCCATGTCCACTACAATACAGAACTCTGTCAAATGAATAATTTCATGGAGAGGAAATATGCCAACCTAAAACCTAAAATATACATGAACCAGACATGAGCTACACTCAACATCATTTATAGAGTAAGTTCTACATTGGAAAGGCACAATGTTTACCATCTTATATCCTTATACAGGAGCTGCAATTTGGTTGTGCATCCATCTTTTTGAGGATTTATTTTTGTACAAAATAAATAATCAAATGTAAGGATATGTCACTGGAGATCAAAGTCACAACTATCCACACCACTGTATTCCTAATTACTATGCACATGTGAAAGCTGGACAGCAAGGCAAGCCAACAGGAAAGCCAGCAGATTTTGACCATTTGATTTGCTCAAAATATGTTGCTGCAAAATACTTTTACAGATACCACAGGTCACCAGAAAGACAAATAAATGGCTTCTAGATCAAATAAAAGTCTGAACTTTCTCTGAAAGCAAAAGTGACGGAGCAGAGGCTGTCCTATTTTGGGTACATCATGCAAAGACATGAGTCAATGGAAAAGTCAATGAGAGTTTGAAATGATGAAGTTAGTAGAAAAAGAGGAAGACCAAATGTGAGGTGGAGAGGAAGCAACTGCCTCAATTTTGCAAGAGCTGAACAGGGCCGTTAATGAGAGGATCTCTGAAGGTCACTAATTCATGGAGTCACCAGTAAGTGAGAAGCAGCTTGATGTATAATAACAATATCATTTGTGGGCAAAGTTTTTCTTTAAGTTAAACATTAAAGAGAGAGGTTACTTACCTTGTAACCATGGTTCTTCGAGTGGTCCTCTGTGAATCTACACAAATGGGTTAATCTGCACCTGCGCATGACCTCTTGGAACTTTCTAGAGCTTAAAGACATGTGATTAGTGGGACGTTCCCCCGTGGAGTGCATGTTCTGCTCACCTGAAGTCCCCCCCATTCTTAAAAAGTCAGCCACTGTCAGAAAGGTAGATAGAGATGACAATGTGATGGACAGAGGGGAGGATAGGCGGGACGTGTGGATTCACAAAGGACCACTCGAAGAACCATGGTTACAGGTAACGAACCTCGCTTTCTTCTTCATGGACTCTGTGAATGCACATAAATGGGTGATTAGTAAGCTCACTTACCAGTTGGTAGGATGTCACATTAAAAAGGAGGAAAGAATAGCTTAATTCTTGGCCCTGACGTCCAGCTGATAGTGAGTTACAAATGCCGAGGGTGTAGACCAGGTAGCAGCTTGAAAGATGTTGGAGACATCAATACCGTGAAGAAAGGTGGTAGAGGTAGAGATGGCCCTGGTGGGGTGGGTTTTAAAAGTGTGGCGGATTTCCCGCCAGTTCATATGACAAGGCAACTGCCTGAACAATCCACCAAGATAGAGTTTGTGCCGAAGCTGGAGAACTCTTGCGAGGACTGTGATAACAGATGAACAGACAACAGATGAACAGACAAGGAGACTTTCAGAAAGACTTTGTCCTGGAAACATAGAAGGCAAGGAAGTGTCTGGCTTCTAGAGAATGGAGCATGTGCTCTAGATTTGATGTTGGAGATGGAACGGAGGATAAGAGGTTGGTTGAGGTGCAAAGCAGGAACGGAGGATAAGAGGTTGGTTGGCAATTTCCTGAGGTAGGAAAGAGATGTCTGGATATAGGGTAAGCTTGTCAGGAGGAAATTGCAGACATGGGGCATCAGCGCTGAGAGCTGCTAGCTCACTAGCTCTAATGGCAACAAGAAACAGAGTCTTGAGAGAGAGAAGTTTGAAATTGGTAGTGGTCGGCAGTTCGAAGGGAGGATGAGTAAGAACTTGGAGGATGGTTTAGAGTGACCATTGTGGAAGTGGTGGTCTCATTTTTTTAAAGGTAGGGTGAGATAAAAGTCAAGCGGAATCCGAGCCCTGTGGCTGGTGTGCTAGGATAGCAGAAATGTACACTTTCAAGGTGGAATGAGAAAGACCAAGATGAAAAAGGTGGAGAAGGAAGGTAAGGAGAGTATCAAGGGAGACAGGTACTGTAGAGAGTCCCTTGGAAGCAGTGAAGGTAGAGAAAGTCCTCCATTTATAGCAGTACAAAAGCTGAGTAGAAGGCTTCCTGGCCTTGTCTAGAACAGCCTCTATGGGAGGTGAATCCTCCACACGAGTATAGCCTTCATCCCTTGTTATGCAAAATATGTCATGTATTATTCATGTCTATGCTAATGTAGTGGAGAGGCGGAGCTGAGAGAGAGAGGTTAAAAGGTGGAGCCTGAGAGAGTCAAGAGTCAGAGTCAGAGAGAGAAGGCACAGATATTAATAGAGCTAAGCTGGTTATGATAAATAGATAGAGAAGGTCGTAATTAATTATATGGGAAGAAGAAAGTATGTATAGAGAGACCTGTGAATGATTTGATTGTGTACAATGAACATCTGAAGAACATCTGTGATTATTATTAACTTTGCTACACTTCAATAAATAAGTTCTGTTTGCATTTACCAGACAAGTGTTTGGAGAAATGTCTTTTATATTGTGGATAGAGCTAATCCACTGGTGGCAGTGAGGGAAACAAAGACTGGAACCTTTGTGAGGGCACAAAAAGTAGGTGCATAGAGGTGAACATCACAGTGAGATTGAGGAACTAGAGGTCTGGGTGGTAGATCTTGCCCTGTCCTGAATGAGCAATTGCGGGAGGCGAGGGAGGCAAAGGAGGTCGCTCGACATTGCTCTCAAGTGGGTGAACCAAGGTTGACATGGCCACCATGCGGCTATGAGGATGGTGCTGGAGTGAAATTGCTGGAGCCTGCTTATTGTCTTCTGGATGAGAGGAAGGGGGGGAGGTATAGAAGACCCGATCC